TAACAGAGGAAAACAAACAGTACTTCTGTAAGGAGCAGTTTGAGTAGAATGTAGAGGAGTGATTACTTATCTCAAGAAGGTGACAGTATCTATAAAAATGGCAGTGAAGGAACTTTTGTTCACAATATGCTTTTTCAAAACTAGATTGTCAAAGTATATGGCCAGATAATTCAAATTCTTTCTTCTGAAACTTGGTTCAATCTTGTATGCATTAGAACAAATCCTCCACAAGCCCATTCAAAACAGCTGTACTATTCACAGTGACAACTAATCTGATTTCAGAACTTTTAAATGTGTCAACAGATTGGGTTTCACTAAAAGCACCTGCACCTGCCCAGGCAAGGTTCTTGTGCACACATGATGCTTTGGCATGACAGATTCCCTGCTTTCAAGAGCACTGTTGGGATACAACAATTAAGATATACACAGAGCAGCCCCACACATGCCTCACAATTTTGTAAGTACAGAACATTATCGCACTATTTGCTTTATGAATCAAAATAACCCAACAGCAACAGCTGAGTCTCTAAGTTTTAGCTCAAACTGGAGACCTAGGGAAGACTGGCCATAAAAATACAGCCAGCAACTTGCTATTTGATAAATGGTTTCATATGCTTACAGCCATATTTGTCTGGGTAGGTGACTGAACCTGAAATGGGGGAAGTGGTATTTGAAAAAAACAGCCAGAACATAACAGACAGGTGAGCTTCTGGACTCAGGTGGTATTTGAGAGTCATCCAAGAGAGCTAACTTTATCCAATAAAATTCCATTGGTTATGTCCTTAAATGTTTTGCAAGCTTAGCAGCTGAAGTTTTAACAGTAATCTGAAAAGGAACCTGCAGGAGGTATAAATTGTAAATACATACCTCAGTAATGACTGAAGCAATTGTTAAATGCCAAGAATGTTTAAATGTTTACTCAAGTTTTGACAATCTATTTATGTATTTGCAAATTTGCCCCACTCCCTTTTTTTCCTTTTAAATGTTATTCTGAAAGTCAGAATTACCAAAAATCAGTATCAATTCTGAGGATTTAAAAGGAATGAGCACTGTCTCCTGAACTGACAACAAATGCTACCGGCAAGTTTTACCTCTGTGCTGCCAACAGAATAGGAACAGTTCCTGTGTAACCTCCTTTATTTGATGGATAGTTCTTCTTTCTCAATATGCTCATCTCATTTTTAACAGATTGTGCAATATTCACTTTTGTAACGCTAATATTACTGTATAATGTGGTCTTACAAGATTTTTATATTTCCTCATCTATTTGAATGCCTCATGTACTAGCAGTAAGCTTTTCAGGAAAATAAATGCCTGCCTTTGGTTTTTTCTATTTTATGGTGCCCTAACATTGAGCCAGTACATGGAACCCTGGGGATGGATACAAATACTAGGAAATAACCATATATTTGCTAGGTTTATAGAGTCACATTTTCACATGGATTGGGATAGATTTAGCTCGAAGTAATGCCTATAAAATCTGGAAGCCTTTTACCACTATTTAAAGGTAACTGGCTACTTTTAGGTAGCAGTTAACATGAAATGCTTTATTCCTATGAATAAATAATACTTATAGTCCATATACTTAAAATACTTTTTTTTTTGCTGTCAGAACTTACTCCAAGCAAGCATCATAGACATTCTACATATGAAACAACTAGAAAAAAATACTTACAAGCCTAAACCTGTCACAGCATATACCACAGCACATGCTGCAGTCAAGAAAGCCATGACACACAGAGTAAAGCCATGCAGTACCAGAAGACTTCAACACATAGAGAGTAACACCTTACTACTCCAGAAGGCTTCAGGCATCTGCCCATACAGAGTAACACCACATCACTTCAGGAGGCTGCAGGGATCCACCCTTCTGGGTCTTCAGCCCAAACTTTTATACCCCTCATGCTGATGCAGTGCCCCTGTGTGCCCTCTGTCCCTTTGGTGATGGTCAGTGCCCCTGGGCACTCCATGGCTCATTGCTGTCAGTGCTGCTCACAGCTGTGCCACTGGGGATGGGGCTCAGCCACAGCCCCATCCCAATCACCACAAACTGTGTGCCCACATGAACCTCCCAGTGGTGCACCGGCGGATGCAGGAAAAAGACTTCTGATAGAAAGATTGTTTTAAGCTTCAGGAACTCTTTGGCAGGTGGTCCCAAGCCATGGAGCAGCCTGGAAAGCACAAGGCTGTGATGTGCAACTCCACCTGGAGCCACAAGATAGAGCCACCAGTGCGTTCATGGACCCTGCAGTCCTTCCCTGACCTAACGGGGACAACCTCCCTGCAGAAATGAAGGGCCTGGGATGTGCTACTGAAAGCGAGATAATAAACCCAAGATTTACATCTGCAAGTGAAAAAAGACAGCATAAGGCTTATCAACAGTTTCATTCTGTTTCAGTACGTTTATCACAAGCCTGAAAGTTGGCTTTTTGAGATGTGTGCAGCTTTTCTGCTTGCCCTGTTCTGGTATTTCTCCCCAGGGAAGACTGCAGAGCACTGAGATGAGCATCAGAAACCACTCCTGCCTAAAGCTGAGGTGCAGTGCTCACTCTGCTCGTTTTCCCCATCAGTATTCACAGTGCTGTGTTTCCTGAGTACTTTTAAACACAAAATTGTGCTGATGTTTTTTTCATTCCTCTTCAAGAGAGAGGGCTAAGACAGGGCAAGGTGGTTTTTTCTGCTCGGATATTATTTACTGCAATTAGTGTGTTACCAACTATGCATGTGCAATGCAGTGCATGGGGTAGATGCCTTTGCCTTCACACACCCCTGGACTGCAGAGCACTGACACTTAACTGGAGGTCTCAAACCAACAAGGATTAGCAATGAGAGGAAATAAACCTCCTATTTGCAATTTTTTCCCTATTTATTTATATATATATTTAACAAAGAGATGAAAAGCCATGTTTGGAATAACTCCTCTAAGTACACCTCAATAGAGCTTAAATCTGTATTTTTCAGAATATGCTTCAACATAGTAAAGTGTATGGGGAAAAAAACCTCTATATATTCACAAAGATGCCACAGAACCTAATACATAATATTACAGTGATGGCATTTTGTCATTATTACACACACTGCTCAAGACAAAATAAACTCACCAGTTACATATTAAATGTCATAAATAAACTTTAATGTTGTACATCCTGCCAGTAAAGAATGGACAAGTGAACAGTCCACAAACCTCATGTTTCCTTCTCCTAGCTTTAAACATGTTGCTATGCTGCTGTTTTCCATAACTGTTTGGGTAAGGGCAAATTTTCAGATGCTATACGGCATTCAAATAATCACAAGGTCAATTCTCATGCTATCAATGAATATAAAATATAACTACTAGTGCTGGTTTTACATTCCCTTTACATTCGAAATACAGAACTTAATGAAAAAGACTGTGCACTGAGGTATGTAGTTTTTGCCATTAATTTTGTTCTGTAGCTTCCAATAAGTTGCTATTTCCCTGGATAATAATCCAAAAATAGTCTTAAATCCTTATGTACAAAATTAGAAAAATATTAATGCTTAGAACCTAGAACTATGTAGGACATTTAGTTGTAATACCACTATTTGCTATATAAGATATTTTTTTCAAGCACAGTTGTTTTTTTTCCAGCACTTTGCTCCATCCTTCACATCATTTTCTTTCCTTGATCTTCTGCTGAAGATCCTTGGGTTTGAGCTGTTGTTTCTATCCATTATTACAACCTCTTCCTTCCTCTTTCTCATGTTGTTTTGCTTCTTCACTTTGAGCACAAACTTATGTTCTTGTGATCATGTAACTCCCAGCGCTATGATGAATTTCCTTGCATTCATTTCTCCTCTTCCATACAGCGTTCAGTTCTGAACTCTCTCATTCTCACTTGCCTGGGAATATGAAAGTAGGAATTCCACCATCTACCTACATATAGAAATAGGCCAGGAACAAATACATGCTGACAGCAAATTCTCACACATCTGAGAAGATAAACAGCATTCACAACTGGTCCAGAAATTGCTCTCTCTGGGAAGTCACTGTTTGGCCACACACAATTCCTACAGGGGAACAGATGAGATTGCCTCAAAATTTTGACGTATTTTTATTCTAATCTTCAAACTTTACAAACTGCAACCATCTTCTCATACATTTTTTGTGCAACTGCTCAACTTGGCAGAAGCACAGAGGAGTGACAGTCAGCTGGATTTCTTGGCTGCAGGTATAAACACTGACTTCCCTCCCCTGCAGGATTAAACTGTTGCCAGCAACTTGAGGAAATTCACAGTTCTCCAGTGAATGGAAAATACTGCCACCAGTTATTTCTTTCTCCCTACCCTGGAGGAACTGAGCTGCTGCCAATTAACATAGCATTTCCCTGCACTTGCAATCCCTTTGAACTTTTTCATGATTTTACAGGAAACAGTTTTGTCTCTATGTAAATCTATTCAGTGCAAATCCCAGTCACAAAAAAAGGACTGATAACTGTAGCAGAAGCCCCAAGACAAGGGACTTTTGTTACTCTGCAACCATTAGTCAAAAAATGTAGTATTTATAACCAATTTGTACAAAAGCCAAGAAGAATCTAAGCGCAATGGAAAAGAAAACACAGTGACTAACAAATGAAGTGCACATGAGATAAACTACATTCAAAAATTGCATGGATTGGAGATTATACTCATTTCATGTTACTGCCCACATTACTACAAGCTGTCATTCCTTGAGAAATAGAACTAAAAGCTGTTTTGCATACAGCATGAACACTCACAGTATCTAATGACAGGGAAACAACAGAGTTCCAGGGTAAAGGGATAGGAGACTAGCAACTGGAATACTGGTATGTGACCGATGCTAAAAGAAAAGCCTCTCTTCCCCAGTTTGGTTTTCATCTGTCCACATAGAAAGCAAGACACATGCAGAACTCATCTCTCACACTAGTCAAAAATATTCTCTCATTTGCCTGAATAACTGCATTATTTTATTTTTAAAAATCTTGGAGATGCCATCTTTATGTATTAAGTTAAAAACTCACGAAATCAGCTTCAAGTTTTCCCATTTCTTGTTTGTAGCTTCTCATTCGATTGCTGTACATCCCTCGGCTTTGAGGTGGGATCTCTCGAACTTCAAGTTCCATCTGCTCAAGCTGACAAGTGAAAACAAAGAGGAGATATATAAATCAAAAGGTTAACTAAAGCAAGAACAAATTTACCTAAGTTCAAGAAATATATCTAAGTTCAAGAAATATTCCTTCTTTATAAGGAAGAATGTTGCTTATTCTGCAACATAATATAAATTTATCAAAATTTTGCACAGTCTTAAGTCAAGAAACAAATTACAACATTAGTATTATTAACACTCAGAAGGAATGATTCAAGCCAAATACTTCTGGCTTTCAATTCTAACTGTGATGACTATTACATCTTATTACAAAAAAAAAAAAAAATAGTAAAACTGAGGATAATTCCTGCAAATGAGCATAGTTTAAAAGAAAGCCTACCTTCACCTAGCTGTGCAGTTTTGGAAATCTTTGGCTGAAAAAGCTATTTTACTTATTTATATATATGTAAAGCTTTATTTACCACCAGTCTGTGTGATTAATAGAGTAATTCTTATGTTTAATAAACGAATTATTTTTTCTTTAAATATTGCTATCTCAGCAGAACTACATAACATGAATTGGCTACCTAAATCTACATTCCAAACCTATATGCAGTTATATTAAATAGCTGAATTTCAGGGTTCAACGACAATGCTATTCAAGAACTTGTATACAGTCAAATCCATTAAAAAATTAGAGACATATTCTATCCTTCAAAAGCTTTTTTTATTTATTCTTGCCATGTAGAATTCTAAGGGGCCTGAAATACAAGGATATGGCACAGGGGTGCAGCAAATCAAAAGTCATAAATGAGGGCTGCTAATTACCTGCCCACTGGGTCTTGTAGCCTGCTCTATATGGTGCTGTCTGTTCAGGAATTCTATTTTGAAGAATCCCACACCTGCCTTTTAAAATCTTTCCAATTTACTTAAAAAGGATAAAAGAATACTTCTCCTTGCTTGCTGTAGGCACCTGAAACAACATTTACTCACCTCCTACTGATCTTGGTTGAACAATATGGCATAGGAGCAGAAATGCTTTTCAATTAGGGTCCCAGGCTACTGGTTGCAGATCTTCACAAGGGACTGCTAGAATTTATTCCTATGTAATCACTTGCTTACACTTTGAAATTTCATCCTCATATCATAAGAAAAACATCTGAATTTAATCAATGGAATTGCTAGATATTCAAAAGTCATTTTGCCTGATGTAGTCTGATTATACAAAATTATATTCAATATAAACTATAAAGCAGACTTTAATTAAATAGTCACTAATGAATTGAAACACACAAAGCAATTTCTAATTCTACCCAGTTCTTTAGCTCAGACTTAACTTTACAAAGAAGTATTATAAATTAAACCAATAGCTGGAATTAATAGCTTATTTGTTATCAATTTCATCTTAATATATTTGATCTCAAATGTTCTATAAACTTTTCCCTCATATATATGTGGTTGGGAAATTTTAATGAAGTCTCAATTCTTGTCTGTTATATAAAAACAAAAACATGTATCAGTAAATCCAGAATTTGCACCAACAATCAGTCTGTGATCCAGGAAATATAAAATGTTCATTCTAAAGAGTCAATATTAGAGAGTGTAAGGTCCAAGGAATGATGATGAAGCATATTTATGTTGACCAATATTTACCAATGTTTTTTCATCATGAGATGAACTGGGTGCATTTTGTGGCTGGGCTGAGAAATTTCCATGAGAATCCATGCAGAACAAAGTGGTCCAAGCAAGGGTGAACCTAAATGCAACCTAATTTCATGCATCTCCATTTTCAGAACTCATATTATTGGTCATAAAATCATATTTTTCATAAACAAGCTAAAGCAGAGCAGACCTTCATATTTCCATTTAAAAATACAACAAAGTAGTGTGGCGATGATGTCCACTCCAAAATAAGTCTCCCCCTCCCACAGAAACTTCTCCAAATGAATCAGCTGCTAGCATTTTAAGAAACTTGAAAGCTTCACTATTTTATTCTGATTCTAAAGCCCTGGCACTCAAATGGAGATCCAAACTAAAAAACACAAGACAAGAATAATCCAGAATTTATAACACAACAATTTTGTGATGTGTTCTTCATCAAAGATAAAGGCAAGTAACAGAGAGAGAGTTTTGTCCTCTTAAAAGTAGAATTTCACTCAAAAATTCACAATTCTTCTGGCACATGCTAGATGTTATACTCAAAGAATTTCCCCAAGGTTAGCTCAACAGTCACCTTTCTTAAAAACCTGGTAAAAAAACAATTAGATACTCCACATTGGACATAGAACAACAGGATTTCTCTCCAGAGACTTCTTACTCCACAGCTCTGGCCTGAAAAGGCAGCCTGGGAGTCTGAAAGTTTTCATGTCAGGTCTGCACATACATCAAATCAATTACACCAGTGATTTCACCTAAACAAAGCAGACAGTGTTTTAAAACCACCACTGGTCAGTGAACACAAATAAATTATCTCTATAATAATATTTATAATACATGAGAGTGTTATTTCCTAGCCAAGTAGGAAATAAAAAAATCAGCTAATCCCAGCTTTGACAACGCAAGACAATGAAGCAAACCAATGTATGAAAACTATCAGCAGCAAGGAATTATGTTTATTTTGATTTTCTACTGTAGCCTCTAGTTTAAAATAGGATCCTCTTAATCAGTTCTGTTATTAGCAGGTTTGTTCAAATTGATTTCTAAACCCAAGCCTTGACATTAATCACAAACATGTTGGGTAATTGCTTAAAGCCAATAATTGAATCTAAAGATCTAAAACAAAAGTGTGAAAGAAAAGCCAGTACATTAAATGAAGATTATCATTAGCATAAAAATATGAATACTGGATTTATTTTTTAATCTTGTAATAAATACAAATGTAGATGATCTTTTCCTGACGTAAGGAGAGAGGTAAGAAGCCATTAACTCAATTTCCTCTCCTTCCAATCCACTTGGAATAGAAAACCAAATTTGAATGACCACCCACACTGGAGCTTCTCTGTAGTGCTCTGTCTTTTGCCATGTCAACTTGTAGTGAAAATGAGCTGAAAAACATTTCTAGATTTCTACTTTTTGCAGCTGTTTGAATATAAAAGTGCCCAAAAGGCCTTAATGTATCTTCAGAGCATCCTCATGAGATGAGACTGTAATTTTACCATGTTGCTTACTGGAAATACCAAACCAGAGAGGTTAGGTGCCTTGTCAACCTCACAAGGCAAAACTGCAGGAAGTCATCCCAAGATCCAGCTTTACTGGATGCTATTTCAATGCTCTGGTCTACAAGACTTAAACCAAAAGCACCGTGTATGCCTACAAACAGTCAAGAGACTTCTTTATTCCTATGACACTTCAAAGAATTAATTTTATTGTTTAGTTAGTAGCCAAATAATTGATTTCAGTTTTTTCCATTACAAGAAATTCTAGAGTAGAAAAGCTAATTTCTTTCCCTATCGTAACATTCAGGTCACATTTCTGACATTAGATACACCAAACCCATTTGCAAGCAATAAACAAAAGCAACTTCAGGTAAGGAACTAATGTCCATGTGGGAAAAAGACAATCTCAGCTGTCACCAACACCTCTGCTCAGTTACTCCGCATCTACAAAACTTTACTTTTATACTACTCCCAGATGGAATACATGCCAGGTTGTAATGGGAGCAAAATAAAAGAAGAGTCACAGTTGCTTAACACATGTTGCTTGTCACATACTGGGTTTTTTTTGTCAGTGTGAACCACAAACTAATGCTTGGTTAGCAGCTACACTCTTCTTGGATCAGTGACCCACACTGCCATGGACCCCTTGTCCTCGCCTTTATGTCTCACTTGCTAAAATGGAAAAAAGATCTACTGCTCTACAAGACATTCTGATAAATGAAATTAAGTAGGTGCTTGCGTCTTACAAGCCAAAAACAAAGTCATGGTGTGTAAATATTTATTTCCTTTCCTAAAGACCTAATCCACACTATTTATTGACTTATAGCAATAGTGCAAACCTTGCATCACTTAACACAGGATTAAAAAAGATACACTATTCTTGTATTACATATCCTCAAATAAGAACTATTTCAAGACTATTATTTCACTTTGCAATATATCATTGTTAAGTATTTTTAGAGCATGGGTGTTAAATGTTACCATCAATGATCCTATTATTTTTGTTAGGAATTTGCAGTTAACATATAAAAATCCAGAACATACCAGTTCCCTTGCTTCTTCAAGCTGCTTCTCAACATTTGCAACCATCTGCTTCTTCTCATCTGAAACACAATTGTGAAAATACCAATATAATTGTGTTCTTACCATGAAAGAAAAATATACCATTTCAAAAGATTGTATGTATCAGATAAAACAGACTTGAGATTTATTGTGTGACATTCTCACACATGGTGATACACACATTAGTAATTAAAAAAGACTGGAGAATCCTTGAAGTTCTTCTGCTCTGTTATATAGCATTTTCTAGTTAGGAAAGTACTTACAGCTGCTTCAGCTGTAGGAATTATGCCTCAGCTGACACTTGCTGGTGTGTACAAATGCATGAGAAGGTACATAGATACACTAAATGGAAAAATTTTTTAAGAACAAAGGCTTAACAGATTCATTTGCAAAATATGAGATACACAAAACCAAGCATCCCAATTAAAATTAATTCCAGGTCTGAAGAAAAATGATGTTTCTATTCCCCTACTCCTATGCTGGGTCTAGAATTGTTTCTATCTGCTTCAATGGATATAAAATGAAATGCCACAGGAACTACAAGGAAACCACTGTTTTAGTACTAATATATATATTTTTTTTTTAATTCAAATACGTTTTAAGCTATACATAGCAATCAACATGTGCTAGGTTCCCCAGCTACAGAGACTGGCTTTTATCCTGCCTCCAACCATCCATTCACAGGCAGAGAATCCAGTCTGAACTGAGAACTGAGGTTGTGTCACATCATCACAAACATTCCAAGTGCTTCACAACTTGGTTTGTTACAGCATATTCAGATACTGGATAATAAAATGTCCCACACTGCTTTATTACTGTGGGTATTCAAGGGTTTCCATCCTACCATCATCTTCCAGCCTTCAGACACCCATTGTGTCAATGAAGTTAACAACAGAACTCTGAACACACAAATGGTTTGTTTGAAACCAGGAGTGTCATGAGACATCTGTACTGGTGGTTTGGCTGATGAAGCAGATAAAAAGTGAATGTCACCCAAGTGTCTCCAGTCACAGCTCCCCAGAGGTCACGATGGATAAGTCTACATTGGCACAAGACTTAATAATGTACCTCTAAACTTCAGAGCTTTGTTTTTAAGTCTGAATCCCCTTGCCTTTCTTCCACATGATCCCTTTGTATCCTGACACATTAAAGACCAAAAGGGAGAATCTGATGATCCCCTTCCATCCTCTGCATTCCACACTGAATTTCATGAGAGTACTGCCTTAATAAAGGAACATAAATCAGTTTCTCACAGGCTGAAATGCCTATCCATTTATCTTCTCATTTACCTCAAATACTCTAGTGTCTCATTCAAGGACACAGGAACATCACAATCTGTCTTTCCTCAGTTACACATACTGGAGTTCTGCCTGCACAGAGGATCAGCCTTGGGAACATCTTTCCTGCAAATCTGGAATTCACACTGCCACATCTGGTGGCACACTACCACAGCAGAAGATGCAGGAAATACTTTCTGTGTAGCACTTTTAGTTATCTACAGGCAATGTCTTCCTTTAATTCCCCACCAGGTTCTCATGATAGCACCCAGGCCAGAAAGTTCAGCATTTTATCTTCCTAACATAAAAAGCCAAAAGAAATCTGCCCCTTCCCCTCCCAATAAATTTCTCTTCTCATATCCCAAACACCTCCATTCTTTCCTTCATTTGGAAGTCAGCTAGATGACAATGGACGAAAATAAAAACAATGGAAAGTATGAAATACACAACACCATTTTATTGAATCTGAAATAAAACTTTAAAACATAGCAGCAGAAAATAAATGTACTATAGTGTTTTTGGTACTTTCCTGAGTTGTACTGGATCACAATTTTCATACACATTTAGTAACATGAAATTTAGGGATATAAAAAAAATCTGCTTGTACTTGTGATTATAAGAACTACTCAGCACTTCACCGGCCAGTAAATCTTACTGACCCACAGAGAAATTTAGCTGCAAACCTTTTGTAGGAAAAACTCATTAGTACAGAAGAAGGTCTAGCTAAACCTCTTCCCATAAAATTAGGAGAGGGTATTCAAATGATCTCCAATGGTTTAGTAATTAAATTTTAACCCAACTCCAGATTTTAACACTGGCCCAGGTACATAATCACCCAGATGGTGCCCAGGAAAACTGCCTTTGTTTTTCCTTCAAATATATGTGAGCAGGCACATGGCACCATCCCAGCACTGCAGCTCTGGAGCAGGATCTTCAGAGACTTCCAGGAGAGCAGTTAAACTTGTTGCAACTGCTGATCCTCTAGGGCACACAATACCATGCAACCATGGTTTCCAAAGCATTTCATGTCAGTTTTACTTTTACTTTAGTGGTTAAGCAAAGGAAACAACTTATTTCACAGCCAGAATCCCCATATGAAGGGGGGCACAATACTCACCTACTTGCTCAGAGACTGAAAGTGACATCCAAGGGAGTTCCTCTGGGTAGGAGAAGTTTGCCACTAATCAAGTAGATCAGGACAAACAAGTTACAGTCCAATTAAAGATGCTCATATGTTACTAACTGTATTAGTCCACTGTGACTTAGCAGTTTTCAACCTGCCTACTCAATCATTTCCTTAAACAGACTTCCACAGGAAATGAAGACAAAGGTGCTTTATAACTTTTTGTTTTGATTGAGAACTCAAATATTCTTTAGAGAAAATAAAAAACAATGCTCTATCAAATATATCTAAATGTAATTTTTTCCTTACATTGCCAGACAGAATGTCCCAAACAAAATATTCCACACAGTTTGTATAATTTAAGTGGTGAAATTGACAAACTATGGCTAATGACTGGAAACAAAAGGGGGTTTTCCTCTGAGTAGGATTGCAGAGAAATCTGTTCTGTTTGTACACAAAGTTGTATCACTTTCTTAAAAGAAACAAGCTTTCACTACATTTTCCCCAGTTCTTTCACCTTTGCCCTGGTATTAGATACTTTCTTTGTCTCCTAAAATACAGCAGTTACAGAAAGGTGGGAATCTGTCTACAAGGTTGGAAAGATAACACAGCACTGATTTGATCTCAAAGTCAACTAAGAGATTAAAAAAACATGGATCAAGACTGAGTAGTCCCACTGCTCTGGAATTGCTTATTTTCATTAGTACATGCTGAGGAGGAGACTGAGTACCAAAGGGCTTCAGTTGACAGACCACTTGCAGATGTTGCTGTGCTCACTCAGGTGGTTACATGCTCACCACTGACAGAAGTTACTGTCCAACAGCAGAGACAAATGGAACAACATTTCTCTCTTTGGGTTATACAACTGGGTTCATGAGGCATAGCACACTGAGCCAGAGCTGAAACTGAGACAGTAAACTTCAGCGCAGGAGTACAACAGAAAATTAAGGGTGGGGCTTTCTTCAGCTAAACCTGTTAACATCTGAAATGCAGCACTTTGATTGCCCAGCAGAAAATGCAAGTACCAAGTATCAGAAAATGAGGCTACTGTGCTGGGAATAGACTAAGTATCACCATTTGTGCTGATAAAACTCTCTTTCATATCAAGCAATCAAAATTTATATGAATTTTTGGTCAACAGATGTTTCTCTGAAACACCAAGGAGCATTAATAAAACACATCAGTCAATGATCTTCATTCTTCAAAGACCTGCAGCAGCATCACATAAAATCTATTTTAAAGGCATTTCTCTATTTATAACTTTCTTTAATCCCCCAGGTGACATATGCCTCAACAACAGAAGACATTTCTTCCCAAGATGTTCTATTGTCCCTGCTGCTTATTGTTTCTGTGATATCAGAGAGCTTTTGTTACATTTCTTGCTGAACTACTTATGCATTTGTGACAACAGGATTGTCTGCTGAGCCATCGTCTTCCTAGAACACAGGACAGCATCACGGAATGCAGGAATGTTGCAAAACCAATTAAGCAGCATTTCTCCATTACAGCAGGTCCATCTTGGGCAGCAGAGGGAAATAACCAGTCACTAGACTTCAGGAGGTCTCTCTTTATTATGCAGAGTGGCACAAGTCCTTACACCTTTCATCCTGCTTCTTCCAGCGGAGAGGAAGAAGGCCATCAGCAATCTCTCTCAAATCACTGCTGCTGAAAACTGCCACCTCACGTTCCCCTCCCACCTCATAATCCTCTTTTTAAGGCTCTCCCAGTCACCGCCACAAGAACTAACTGGAACTTCTGGTGATGAAGAAGCCAATTCCTATTAAGAAACAAGGGAAAAATGTGTGTTTAAAATATTTCTGATAAAGTGTTCAGCATAATCAGAGATTTCTTTTTCCAAGTGGTCAAATGCCTCTGTTAGCTAAGACTGCAGTTTGTTTTGAAGTCATGGAAATTTTTTTTTTCCTGATGAAAGACAGAATAGCCCTGAAGCAATACCTAAGCCATGAATGTACAGTGCAAGAAGCAGCTATAAGGCATGTCAGTTCAAACCAGGTATAACTAACCACAAATATAACATGGGGGGACAAAAATTAACTTTGTCTTATCTTGACCTCATTTAGCCCAGTACCACATTCCTGGTCCTGCAAGGAACATGCATTCTGTCTCCTCCAAGAGGATGGCAAATTCTACTAAAAAAGCAACTTTCTAATGGTCTCATAAAAGAGTGATGATTTCAAAGCCTGCTGCTTCTAGGCTATGTCACTGTTGAAGCCAATATTCTTTAAACATCTTTTATTTAAGCTCCAAAATCTCCCTAAGTGAATAAAGGAGACTGATTCAAGGAGGGGATTATGGAAATCCACAACTATTATGCAGAATATTCTTCCTACTATTGAACAGACTCTGATGACTTCCAAAATCTATACAATAAGGAACTCAAATCTCTATTCTTTACAATTAGGGAATTAAATCTCTCTTTTCCTATAAACCAGTCTAGCACTATTGATTTTCAGAGGATGAGCCAGTAGTGTATTTATGATGTCTCCCTGTTCCTACCAGAGGGCCTTAAATTTAATGTTCAAAAGTTAAGAAGCCTTTGTGAAGGTTTCCTGCATCCTCCCAGTAAATGGTTCCAGTGCCCATTTACAGGTTAAATATAATTTCTGAGCAGATTAAAATTCACTTGCAGTTGAACTCTTATTCTCTCTCATCTTCATTTTGTAAGTTTCCATTCAAAAATAGAATGGAATTTTTCCACCTCAGCTGTAGTTTCTGACTGAATTATCTCTCTGTGTCCTTGCTATTAAGATCAAGAGCAAAACATCTTTGTTAAGCCAAGGAAAAGGCATAGTTCCCTTTAACCATGGAACTCAACCCTATTTTTTCAGAACACTTTCTAACTTGCTAAGATTAGAATCGGACATAACCTTCCAAAATCAGAAAGATATTTTATTCAAAATCCCCTAAGATCACACATTTTAGTTGACCACCCACCTCAAATCCTGCTTAGAGTCACTACTTCATCCCCTCATTATGCATTTCCCACTCTAAAAGTAGGATGTTATTCTTTGGTCCTGAATGCATGATACCTTTTCGTTTAGTCACATGGAAAAGTACACCATTAGTACGTGTTTACTTCCTTCTTATACAGCATCCACTCCTATGGTTAAGGGTCCCAAACTTTTGGGTAATATGCATAAGAAGCAGAGGCAGAAGTATTAAATGAGCTGGAAACAGAAGAGGCCTTAAGCTGAGCTACAAGAGGAACAGATGGGGAAACCACGAGTGTCAGCTTCCCTCCATCTCACACTCAGAGCCCTGTACTGGGTCACTGGTTCCTGGGTGCTGGAAGACTCAGCTGGGCTGATTAACGAGATTTAAATTTTCATCTTTCTACTCTTACGGACGGTATTGACTCTACTGCAGGGATAGATCATGAATTAGACCATGAAAACTGCAGGCTACTGACAAACACATTAAAGTAAATGAACACGGATTTCTTTAAATCTCATCCTGTATGTGAGTCACCACAGTTAATTATCCAAATCACAGGTACGAGGAGCAGGCAGCAAAAATACTGATTCAGATTAGGTCATGCACAAAATCTGCCTGTTCCACAGGAAAAATACTTGATTTCCATTAGTGGTGTCGTGGCATGACCACAATAAAGAGGATTCAGCAGCAATGCTGGCACAGGGAACGTCCCCCACCAGCTCTGCTCAGCCCTTCAGGTGCCCTGGCGTAACTTGGCGTGCCCCAGAGCCGGGCAGAAGGCAGGAGCTGATCCTTACAGGTGGGCAGCAGATATTGTCAGAGTGTTCTCTACACATCTCAAGAGACACCTCTCCGCTGGGACAGACCCGGGGCAGGGAGGTGTGTGTGCCGCGCAAGGAGCCACATTCGCTGGGAGCTCTCCACACCCGCGCCCGCACCTCCCGCCGCCGCCCACCGCCGGCAGCCGCAGCGGCTCTCACGGACGAGCCGGCCGGGCCTGCGGAGCCGCTCACCTCCTACCAGCTTGGGCACCTTGGCGATGCGGCCCGTGATGTCTGCCGTGAGCACGGCGAAGTCCTGCTCGTAGCTCTCGAACTCGGAGGACATCGCGGCGATGGCGCTGCCGCCGCTCCGCACCGCGCCGCTTCCGCGTTCTGCCACCCCAAAACGCGTCCCCCGCGCCTCGCCACACGTTCCGGCGAAACTCAGGAGATTTAAGGGGCGCTGCCCAAGCCCTGGGCCGCGCGGGATCGCGTCGCACCGAGGAAAGGCGGCAGCGGCGACAGGTCACTCCCGCCGCGCAGCCCCTCACGCCCCGCCTCGTAACCTGCATGGGGGGAGGATCGCGGCTGCGGCGCTGCAGGCGGGCCGCTGTTTCCCGGGGAGCCCGTATTGCGAGCGGACGGCGGGCGGGCGGCGGCAGCGTGGGCCGCGCTCCCGCCCCGCTCCTCCCCTTCCCTCCCCTCCCCTTCCCGCTCCCTTCCCTCTTCCCTTCCCGCCCTCTCCCTCGGCAGCGGGCGGGAGCCATGCACGGCGGCGGGGCGGCGGCGGCGGGCGGGCGGCGGTAGCGGCGATGGCGGGGCCGGGCGCGCTGCGGCGGGCGCGGCGCCTGTGCCACTGGGGCCCGGCGGTGGCGCTGGCCGTGGTGGCCGTGTGCTCCGCCACCGCCATGGCCGACGCCGCGCTCTGGTACTGGCCCCTGGACACGGCCGGGGGAAGCGTCAACTTCGTGATGCTGCTTAACTGGACCGTCATGATTCTCTACAACTACTTCAGCGCCATGTTCGTGGGCCCCGGGTACGTCCCGCTGGGGTGGACGCCGGTAAGCGCTGCCTTGTGACCGCCGCGTCCCGGGGCCCGGCGGGGACCGGCGGGCAGCCCTGCGGCCGGGCCGGCTGCCCCCGCGGCCAGGACAGGAGAAATCGCCTGTTTTTCCATGCCGCGGTCTCTCCTCTGTCCCCCAAGAACGCTGCACGCTGTCAGGCCACTCCTTCTTTCTTATCTGGTTCTGAAATCTTTGCTTTGCCTCTCCCCGGTTTGCTCCTGCCGCTTCCAGAGCTTCCAGTACAACCCAGCTAGCTCCTGATACCAAAATTGAAGAAATAGAAACTTTCTAACTCAGTTTTGACATTACAAGGCAGCACGCTGGACGCTTCAAATATCCTTCCTCTAACGGAGTGTGCCGAGCGTTGGGTTAACAGAGTTTTTATCAGCCACGCTGATTACACATTCACTAGCTATACCCACTTACTTAATGCATATGTGATATATATGTAGTGCTTTACTTCACATTGTCACATTCCTTATGGGAAGTCCATATGTGGCCTTTTAGGGTCTCCTTTGGTGGTTTCGAGTGGCCAGTGGTGCAATATTTCAGGTGGCCGTTCCTTGGCCCCAGCTCCAGTGAGCACAGCACTGTTGGTTTCCGTGACTGCTGCTTTGTCAGCCTTGCAGAGCTGAGCCGGCTTCCTGCTTGCCTGAGGGAAGCCTTGATCTGCTGTTCCAAGGCTCTGTTCTGTTCTGCTGCCCTTCTCCATCCCCTCCCTGTGCTGTCGGGGCTCTGGTAATGCTGCTTGGCTGGTAGCAGTTGCTGTGTTTTATTAGGGGCTCTTCCAAGCAAAGCAGCAGGAAACGTGCACTGATAGCTGGGAATGAGAACCTCAAGGTTATCTGCATGCTCCTGCAGACACCTGTTTTGGAGATATTGCTGCTAGCAGTAACAGAAGTAATTCATTTAGAAAATGTCTTTTTTATTTTATGCAAGCCAGAAAATTATATGGTTACTTCTGCTTAACACAGTGCAAGATAGAAATTTGCATTTCCCGTGCTTCAGTAACCTCTTGGAAGAGTTGTAGTCAAGAATGATACAGGTTCAGTATCTCAAGGCAGCTGCCCAGAGTTTAGTGCTGGTCACCTTTCTAATTGTGGAATATTACTCAGGACAGAGCAGAAGAGGATCCTGATAATCATCTTAGCAGGACAACTGGGTACTCCACTTCCTGAGGGCAAGATTTTGGCCACTACTTGCTGTCTGCAAGTGTCTCTGTCTCTCATCTTGCTGTAGTTGGTGTGTGTGTGTATAAAAGAGATTGTGAGTGAGTTGCACATTAGTGTTTATCAGCTTAATGTGGTTTATGGTGTAAAATGGAGAGAAAATGTGCTCAGGATTTTTTTTGTTAGAATGCTAACATGCTGACTTTTACTTTCAGAACTTCACTATGAAATCCTGCTTGTACAGTTGCTCTTCCTGAGAGAAGAACTGTTTATTTCTTTTAGCAGCCAGCACTTTCAACTGTGGGATTTGGCTCTTTTGATAGCCAAGAGATTTGCTAGGAATTACTTAATTTTGTTTTTTCCTCTCCTTGACGCCTACCATTAAATAGGGTTGGACTATGAAACACACCCTGTCTGAAGAAACCAAAGGTGCTTAAGGTGGGAAAATGCCAAGATAAACATTGCCAGCAGAGTTGTGTATACATCTAACACTGCTGTTCTTCTGTTTAAAGGAAAAATCTCAGGATTGCATGTATCTCCAATACTGTAAAGTGTGTCAGTCTTACAAGGCACCTCGTTCACACCACTGTCGGAAGTGTAACAGGTACTGTTCCTCTTCACTGCTGTTTAAAGTCCATATTAGAGCAGCTTCAAACCTAATGATGGGCTATTACGATAATTTGTGCTTCCAGCACTTGCATAATAGTTTTTTAAAAAGCTTCCATATGAGCACTATAGCCCTTTCAAGTATTTCCACTTTCTAATTGTATGATATCTATACAGTTTTGCTGTGTTCTAGTTCTTAAAAATGACTGCCTTTAACATTTTCTTTATAGTTTGAAATCAGTTTCTCCTAAGAACTTCTTGACGGTACTAACAAAACAATGCAGTCCTTCAGGGATGCGAGTCTGTGTAAATACCTAAAAATCTTTCAAATTTCAATTCTTTTTAAATTCTGAATCCAAACATTGACCTGCTTAGAGAGTAGAAATACCTGTTCTGTCATCTTTCCAAATGGGAATTCAATGTCGATTTGTGTGGAAATTTTGGACTGCTTTTTTTTGACTCTTCACCGAAGCAGGTTTTTGAGGGGAGTTGGTACATTAAGTGAGGTAAACATTTTGGGTCATCTTAAGAAGTTAGCATCTTGTTATCTTCCAACACACTCATCCTGATACAAGGAATACTTTATTACAAATAGCTGTCACTAGAATTTAGTGCATCTTGAAAAAATCAAGGCACTTCAGCTGTCTGCAGTCCAGGCAAGTTGTCCTCTGAAGGCCTCCTAAGAGAATGTGGTGAAAGGATTTGTTATTTCTATAAACCTAAGATGGGCAGTCAGTGTTTTTTTAGGAAACTGAAACTCCAGAGCAGTGCTGTAACTTGGCTACGTCATCCTCAGATTTAAAATTAATTACCCTTTTCTTGAGTAAATCTTTACACCGAGGACTGATCACTTAGGTGGTCACAGAGTCTTTTACACCTGTCAAGGTAATTTGGAATGTGGACAAATCGTTATTCAGGTTTTTTTTTAATCTGTAAGCTGCACCAAAATAACAGGCTTTATATTGAATACAAGAGTGTCTCTAGGGTGCTTAGACTTGTTAATGTATTTTGAAAAGGATTTTCAATGGTGTAAGGTAAATACATAGCAATTGAGAAAGCTTTCAGAGGATTAACCACTGAAAAGAAAGAGTTACTGTCGCACTTCTGTCTGTATATCTTTCTTTAATTTCTACAAGGGAATTTGATATTTCCTTTATATTCCTGGTATTCTGATTTTTAAAAATTGGCATTAACTGTAGTGTTTAATTATTGTGATCATGGTTCTTACAAGTTCCATTCTATGGCTTTGTCTCCAGGCTCTGTTCTGCGGTGTTTATTAGCAACTAGTTAGTTTGAGTAAAGGGGAGCACAGATAACTGGGGAGGGTAGGACCTTGACCCATTTTTTATTTGCTTTTTTAAATTCTGCAACATGGAAATATAATTCTGAATAGCAACTAAAAAGAAACTACTGTGTTGATCTGTCAGAAATTGGTGGGTCCTTTGAGTTTTTTGAGAAACATCATACGTGTCCTTTATATTAATCAATATTTGTTATTCACAGATGTGTGATGAAGATGGATCACCACTGTCCTTGGATCAACAACTGTTGTGGATACCAGAATCATGCATCTTTCACTCTGTTTCTCCTCTTAGCCCCACTGGGATGCATTCACGCTTCTTTCATATTTATTATGACAATGTACACTCAGCTTTACAACAGAGTAAGAAAACATAACTGAATGCTTAAAGTATTATCTAAGTCATAATTTATCTCTGGAAATACGAGAGAATTTGATTTTCTTAGAAGAAGCATGTGGAATTCCTTGTTCTTCTTTCCAGATGCACTCTAGTTCTGCTGTGTACCCATAAGATGTATGTATGGGAATGGAGGAGGATTCAGAGAAAGTTGTTTCTATTTTCATTCTTTTTTTCCCTGTTGCTTCTCATAATCACAGGGAGTTTCCTATTGCTTTACATTGACTGAAGATAGTTTCTGAGTAGCACTTTATGTAGAGAGAGAGACAGGCTGTGTTTTGGCTGGCACAGAAAACAGCTGCTATTTATTTACAACACACAAGTTAGTTCTTATTTATTTTCTTTTACTGGACACTTTTTTAAAATTGTGTCTATTTCTTCAAGAAAAAAAAACTACATTATTTTTGGTAATTAAGATAATTATGTCAGCTGTGGTTTTTTTTAACTGGAAAGCTTCAACAGTGAGTAAGCTTGTTCTGGAATACACCCGTTATCTCAGATCCATGGTTAAGATTATAAGCTTGGATTTCAGCCTTTGTGGTTGCAGTGAAGAGCTTGATAACATTACCTGAGTGTAACAGATGAAGCTGTATTTGTGGCAGCTGAGTTGTGTTTGCAGAGTGGTAATGTTGAGAATTGCTGTCTGCAAAGCTTTCAGAGGGAGCCTGCAGCATTTCCACAGGAAACAGGGACTGTTCTATGCAAACATTGTCCATCTGACACTGATGAATGAGGGTTTTTTAACATACCAGAGTCCAGATTTTTTTGCTGATTTTTGGGCCTGTGGAGCTTTCAAGATGGTGATTGTGATTCATTTTCCTAAAGATAAAAGTCTTTTGAGTAATTTTTTGTTACTCTGCTTCATCTCTGTCAGATGTTGGACACTGCATTCAGAGCCAGATTTTGTAGGGATAACTTGCTTTGTTTCAGCAGTTGGAAAGTTTTAG